CCTCACTGCACTGGCTACCGATTCACCTTCGAATCCAGTTCAAAATACTGCTGTATGTCTACAAATAGCTGAACAGTCCCCCCCCCCCCCGATCTGCTACAACCGTATGTCCCACCACGTTCCCTGAGGTCAGTGGACCAATTGCTCCTCACAGTTCCAGGAACTCGTCTTAAGTGCAGAGGTGACAGGGCCTTCTCTGTATCAGGACCAAGACTTTGGAACGAGTTACCTCTGCTTGTCAGACTGGCCCCCTCCCTCTCGGTTTTTAATTCCTGTTTAAAAACCCACTACTATTCAGTAGCTTTCAACACCAGAGGATCTGTGTTTTGAACCTGTATGCTCCACACTGGTTTGTCGTCATATTTATTATCTGCATCGTTTTTATGTCTATATTTTTGATTTACTTCATTTTGTATATTGCTTCGTGTGTTGTCTGTTGTTCTGTCTGTACAGCACTTTGGTTGGCCTTCTAGCTGTTTTAAGTGCTCTATAAATAAAATGGTATGGTATTTACGCTGCTAACCCCGCAACCCAACTCTGGATAAGCGGAAGAAAATGGATGGATGGATGGATATATATACAGTAGTCCCTCGCTACTTCGTAGTTTGACTTTCATGGACACTTTTGCGTTTTTTTTAGTGATTTTTAACTTTAATATTACTCATGTGTTTGTGACGGTAAAAAGTGCCAATCGCGATGGTGTATGGAACGCAATGCCCGCGATAATCGAGGGATCATAGATATATATATGAAATCACACCAGATATACCACCACACTTTTCATTTATTTTATTTTTTATTTGGGGTGGGGGATGGGTTGCGACACGGTGGCGAATATTGTAGAGCTGTTGCCATCATTGAGAAGGTCGCTGGATCAAAATCCTGGCCAGGAGTTTGTATGTTATTTCCATGCATGCGTGGGTTTTCTTCGGTTCTCCGGTTTCCTCCCACAGATCAAAAACATGCATGTTATGTTGATTGGTAACTCTAAATTGTCCCTAGATGTGAGTGAGAGAGTGAATGGTTGTTTCATTTGTCTCTGCGTGTCCCTGTGATGGACTTGCGACCTGTCCAGGGTGTCCCCTGTCTCTTGCACAGTGGCTGCTGGACATGGGCACCAGTGACTCCCGCAGTCCGAAAAGGAAGTGGGTACAGATAATGGATGGATGGATATTTGTGAGAGTGGTAAAAATAATTTTATGTATTTAGCAGTAGAAAGAAAATACTGGGGTATGTTTTCTCATTATATTGCATAGCTATAAGTATAAATGAGAAAAATGCCACAAAATAACTTGACTGAGTGTAAGAATTACTTTTTGTTATAACAACCAACGCTTTAAGTTTGAAATGTATTTACATTTTTGTGACTCACAAATAAGTTACTTTTACTCTTGTTGCCACAACACCAAAAGGTAATAAAAATAGAAAAGCTTTAGCACTTAACACATTTCAACTAGTAAAACTTCTCTAGAATAATAATAATTAAAAAAAGCTATCCCAAGATGATATTAAAACCTTTGTCAGTAGAAGAATAATGTATGTACTAAAGTTACAAAGTAACAACAGCTTTTAGATGTCTGGGCTTGATACAAAGAGGGACATTCATGTGAATGCTGTTATGTTAAAGAGTGTCTCTAACATTCAGAGAGACATGTAAAATGAGCTGCATGCCCTATAAACTGTTTACCTAATGTGCAAATGGAATGTCAAAAGTTCTACTTTTCTACTTTTGTAGTAGATGCACAGTATTCGTAGTAGCAGCACAACGGAGCAAAATAAAGGTACAGAAAGTTAATATTAATGGTGAGGAAGAGAACGCTAATTCTGAAAAATGTTATAGTAAAATAAATTGAAATTGGTTGGCAAATACATAAAATTAGACTGAATAAAAACTGATTGCAATTAATTTGTTGTCAGTCGTACAGAGAAGGACTTGCATGTTTTATGTCTGTGTATCAATACAGTAAACACACAATGCTTAAGCAAAAATGAAAACTAAAAATGTCAAGCGTCAATAGTCAATAGTCTTAACTATTACATTAAAACGCATACCCAGGTAGACCGGTGAACTGTTATTTGAGCTTACAGCATAGAAAAAGAGTGAGAGGAAACAGTATGAATGGATCCAACAGGAGGTATGGACCAGGACTAAGACTCAGACTTGAGTTATTCTCAAACAGCTGAAGTAGGCTAGCTGCCAAAAAGATTACAGCTTGCCAGCAATATAGAAATGATTTTGATTCAGTCCAGTCAAGGTCAAACTTGACTTAGAGTATTTACTGTGTCATATGATTTAGAGTCAATGTTAATGTTTAATTTTATTTTTGCATAGTATTAATACTTGAGCGGCTGCCCATTCACATGTCCATCCATCCGTTCGTCCATTTTCTTTACCTGATTTTCCTTTCCAGGTCACAGGGAGCTGGCGTCTATCTCCAGACTCTCCCCTACACCTAGGAACTATTTAGAGCTACCAACAAACCTAGCATGCATGTTTTTAGTCTGTGAAAGGAAACCGGTGTGCCCACAGAAAACCCACATGTGTACACTGTGACCATGCAAACTCAACTCAGAAAGTCTGTATGCCGGGAGGTGATCCTGCACTGTTCAACCGTACTTGCCCATTCACAAACTTTTATGTATTTTTACAATACAAATAGTAACATCCTTTTTCACTATGGAAAACTGAGGAATTGAACAAGTAAGCCCCACAATTATATTGCACCAAACCCTCCACTTTTGTTGTAAAAACATAAAAATGACGTCTTGTCACATACATTACTGTCCCCCTTCCATCAAAGCGTTTAACACATTTTCAGATCTTTTAAAACATTTTTTTTTCTTCAAGAAAACAACTTGAGAAGATTAGATCACCTCAGGACCATTTGGCCACAAGCAGAAAAAAGGGAAAGGGTTGAAATAATGTATTGTTTTAACATAATGATAAGTATATTTATTTTATTTTTTATTGAATGAACAAATGTGAGTTGTCTGTCTGAAATAAGTCTTTCTTGTAAATGAGTCCTCGAGGCTCAATGGGAACTAACCTGTATAACTAAAGGTTGAATGAATATTTTAGATTTGACCAAACAGAAGCTATACTGAACTTGACTGAAGTCTCCTTAGTAAGTGCAATAATCCAACAGCTGAGGTGTGGATGTGAATGTAAGTGAGATGTGAAGCAAGACGAAGGCATTCTGTTGCTTCTGTAATAATGTGCAATGAAAATAAAAACATAAAAAACATGTATATAAATCTGTATTATTCAGCTAAAATATGTGTGCATACAAATTAATTGATCCACAACTCAAATACTGGCAGCATGACCAAAAGTATACAACCATTGAGATCAATTAACATAAAGAAATATTCTGACCATGTTTTTTGCCTCATCATCCAGTCCTACAGTTCAACATGGAAATGAAAACAGACTGAGAGCTGACAGTAAAAGCAGAACTGTGTGTCATGATGATCATTTATACAAAAAATAAAATAAAATAAATCCTGTCAGATCATGTGAAGTAAATTCCTCATGTAAGGAACATGAAACCAAGTGTGATAGAGTAAGATGCCTCAGTAGCAAATTACACCTTATTAAAGTGTGTATGAAGGTATTGCCAGAGGGTGAGAAAAAAAACAAAAACAAGCCTGTGTTGACAGCTCACACACCCACCGCCTGTTAGTCCTGCAGCAACCCTAACTCCTGTCACAAACCAAGGAGTGACGTCTTTCACACACAAGGACACACGCACACACAGAGGTTTGTCTTTCTATCTTTACGGGGACTTCCATTCATTTTTCATGCATTTCTATATCCTAACCCTGACCCTAAACCTAACCATTACCAGTACATAACCCTAAATCTAACCCATCTTCCTTTTGCATTTTTGTTCTAAACCTAACCGCTAACCCACCAACGACACTTGAATCTTATGGGGACCGGGCTTTAGTTCCTACAAAGAGCAGTTGGTCCTCACTATGTAGTTAGTATGTGTTGGAAAAATGGTCCTCACAAAGTAACATAAATAAGCACACACACAATGCACACATATAGATAAAATAAAACACAAATAATTATAACCAAGAAACTCATTTATGAAATCCAAATAAAAAAATAAAAAATAAAAAAAAACTATATATATATATATATATATATATATAGACTGATGTAATCCTAATTTGCAAACTCTTTCTTAATTTATTTGGCCTACAGAAATGTGAATTTTGATCATCTTAGTTGGCTGGATTAAATCATAGGACGCCTTTGAAGAGGATGACATTGTTTTCATTGTTCGTCACATTCAAACGGACAATAAAGCTAGATTTTGGAGTCATTTTCTTTGTTTGACCGCAAGGTAAAGCGGCTGAGCTGGGTGCTTTGAGCCGCACGCCGCATGTGTGCACGTGAGCGTCTGTGTGCACGATTAGAGCGCGTACGGTCAGTGTAGCTGATAAGAACGTTGCAGTGTGTTTGCAGTGTGTGTGTTTTAGAGATAAAAATCCCAGTGGTCAACACGAGTGTTGGGCCAGTGCTTCACTGACCAGCCCTTAATCTAGAAGAGAAAAAAAAAGGGAGGGGAAGAGGGAAAGAGAGGGAGGTAGCCATGTGGTTAACACTTGCTCACTGAGAGGCGACTGGAGCACAGCCAACCTCTTCACACACAGGCTGACCACACAAGAGCCTCTCTTTCTCCATCTTCCTTCCATCCTCCCTTCATCCCTAGTCTAACATACCCTCGCCTCATTTCGTAAGCTCACTCGGCTGCTCCACGTACTTTTGTACCACTTTTCTATTTTCCATGATTTGTCCAAATTCCTCTTTTGAATTTTCTCACTTATGTCTCTTCCTCCTTCTACAACCCTATAACACTCTGTCCACCTCCCCCATCAAGCCTGTTTTTGCCAAACATCAATCACTCTGTCATTTCTCACCAGCTGTCCATATTTCCTTCCTGTCATTCTTTCTGTCTCTAAATCCTTTAATGCCCCCCCCAACTTACCCGTATAGGTATGCGTTCGGTGTCAGTCTCTTTCTGTGGGTTACGGTATTTCTCGTAAAATTCTCTCTTCTTTTTGCCCTCTTGTTCATCTTTGCGCTCCCTCTTTTCAGCTGGTTCGTCTGAGGCTTCAGCGGGGGAGTGAATGGGTGATGACTTTGCTGGCTTTTCCACTTCCAAGTAGTTCAGGTTGGGGTTGAGCACCATCACACCGTAGCCCTCCTAAAACAGACAAAAGATCATGAAGCAGAACAGTATAATCAGTTACTGTTCACAGACTGTAGAAAGTATTCATGATATATTTGTTCATTACTACATCTCTTTATGTATTTTAGTTCATATCTTAGATCTCATTAATGTTTTTCTTTTATATATATATATATTTTTTTTTTTTTTTCAGTTTATTTATATAGCGCCAAATCACAACAAAGTTGTCTCAGGGCACTTTACAGGAACATTCACATACATAAAAGCCAATTAGTAAAGTTCTCTATCTAAGGAATCCAGCAGACAAGATGAATCTTGGCTTCGATGAAGTCTCCCATCCTGAGCAAGCACATACATTTATTTATTTATTTATATTTTATTGTTGGATATAACTGGGACCCTGTGTACATAATCTTGTTCCACCACAAGTACCATATGAGATGCGAATGACAAATAAATCTCTCGGTCTGTCTGTCTCTGTGTAATATTGCAAATGTGCATATTTAAACCTATTTTAGATTAAAAAAAAACTGTTTGGAGGGATGAAACAAATGGAATTTGTCAATATAAGTTTATATTTTTTGCAAATGTATTTTTTCATACAGTAAAGCAGACGTGTGGCTCAGATCTGTTTTCAACTTTACATCACGCATTATGTGAGATCTGTTTGCTGCTGTTTTGCATTTTAAAGCCTATAAAGTCAGCACAAACCATAAGCCATCTTCAGTTTGATAAATAAATGTCATAACTTCAGTATTTTTTTTTTGTTTAACATGCAGCATATTATAAATGTCCTTATACAACTAACATTAGTTCATGTTTTCCTGGAAAAGCTTGGCAATAGATATTAGAATAAAATCTTTGCAACAGTTAGAATCTTTCAAGACTGAAGAAAAGATGCAAATTGTGACTGAAAGAAAGGGCAGTGAATGAGATAAAGGAGAAAGTGTCACTGCGGAGACAAGCCTGAGAAGTAACTGGGGGATTGGAATTCAGCGGTGGTACTTTCAGTCAGTGAGTAGCATTTAGTGACTCCAAAGGCCATGTGTCGCTTAATATCAAACTCAATCGATCCTACCAGCACATGGAGCGAAGAAAAGGCATCTGTTTGGAACTGCTCACAATTGTATGTGAATAATTTGTAACATTTTTTAATCTGTACTACAGTGATCGACAAAAACAAAACTGGAAAATTGGGCAAAGTTTAAAATATACTAAAATTAGAATGATGTAAAATACAATAAGTTTAAGGCAAAAATCTGATGTGAGCACATAATACCAGTAAAAGTGTGTATTGTGGAGAAAAGGAAGTTCATCTAAGTCCAAGTCACTTTTTCAACCCATTTTAATTAACTTTGTTTATTGTTCAAGCTCTTTGAAAAAAAAGAGGCAGGAAATATTTGGATTCCTGTTTCACTTCGACTGTCCTTTTTTCAACATAACCTCCATTGTGAACACACACACACACAAACACACCAGAAATCTTTAAACTTGTGGGGGAACGCCTGAGCCAAAGCATACAAACACACACATGAAAAAACACACGGATGTAAGGAATGAGATATGACAAAAAAACCTTTAGGAGATGCTGCTCAGCTTTCTCTCTGTCACACATAGTGTCCTCTCATGGCGGCACGTCTTATCATTCTTAATAAGTGTTAACACAATGTGGTTGTGTTCTGCTGACGCAGCGTGTGTGTGTCCCTCCAGAGCAAACTGACATCAAACCTGCCACACACCCTTTAACTTAGCACCTGCCGTGTGTCGACAAAGGCAAACTGGCTTTAACAGTAAAATGACACTTTCTCACTTATTAATATTGTAAAATTAGTCTTGTTTGCACTTCCTGTCAAACTGAGTCGGGCTTTCCATACATGCACGTAGCAAAAAATAATAATTGAAATTAAACTATGTTAGAATAAAACATTTGTTGTGATACAAGGATATGTGGATTAGATTCATTTGTGCATTAAAATTTGGGACCAAAAAAAAAAAAATAAAAATAAAAATCCCCCAGAAAGTGCACTGCCAACCTTAAGGAAAGTTTAATTACTTATAATAATAATAGTAATAATAATAATAATAATAATAATAATAATAATAATAATAATAATAATAATAATAATAGTAATAATAATAATAATATATTTCACTGTAAGTATATTTGTAATCTGCTAGTGTTTCACAACATCATATAAATGTTTTAAAAAATTGGCCACTGGATAGCTGTCACTCCAAATGTAAATAAGTAATTCTTCCAAGCGTGGATATGTGTTTGTACAGCAGAAGCAGAGTTGGAAGGAAATCTATTACAAATACTTAATAAAGACTTAATGAACCAGCATCACACAGACATCTGTACACAAATGTTTAAGTTCTAACACAAAAGCACACACACACACACACACACACACACATTTCAGTAAATGAAGTGCCAGATGGGAAAGAGTTAAAAACAGCGGATGGGGGGAAAGAAGTAGAAGTGGAGTTGCAGAGATTAAAATGTTAAGACGAATACTGACCGGATAGAATAAAAATAAATAAAAAGAAAAAGAAGATGTATCATAGCTCAGTACACAATAGAATTGTGCCACTGCCCACTGGTGGTGGCCTGAAAAAAATACTGACAGCGCCAATTAAGCCAATGGCAACAATATCATTATGTTAAAGTGGTACAGATAATCTTACACAAATAACTCTTTGTAAGGAATATATGTGTGATGTTTTTTTGAATGTTGGATGATAATGGATACATTCTAAGCAAATGGTATCAAATCAATCGAGCACAGCAACGACTCCAGAATCAGAGCTACATCCATACTGCCAAGATCAACAAAAGCAGAAAATGTGCACACTTCAATAAAAGTTGAATTGAAAGCAGAGTGGGTCCAAGGAATTCATTGTATTGTGTAGGTACTCACCAAACTGTTGCTGATGTCCCAAATTCTTACCCTAATCCTGGTTTGCAAAGGGCAAACGTTAATGGTGGAGCACAACCGATGCACGTGTTGGGATGTGAACTCCACGGCCTCTAAACATGTTCAGTCTTTAACACTTTACTCTCCCCAGCTTTAAACACACTGTTAACATCATGATCCCCAGTTCCTTTCCATTATTGCCCTTATCCCTTTCTCGAGAAAAGCAAATACGTCTCATAAACCTAATAGTGCTAACCCTTTCAGCGCTCCAGTCACCCAGAAGAACATTGCTGTAAAGACAACCAGTGTCACTGGTGTGCTTAGTCTGGAAGATCAGGGCCACAAGATCACCTCAGTGTCGGAAGCCATCATTCATTTAAACACTAAGAGGCCTACAGTGGTGTCAGGACAACCTGCTCGCCCTGTCTGGTCACTTCCTACTTCCATTCTTCTCTGCATCAATCAGACTGAGCATGTTGGAGTTTATATTTTTTTTTTTACTGTTTGGCAAAGCTGAAATTACCCAATGGAGTAGAATATTTTATGAAAAAAAAAAAAAAAACATAAAACATATAACCACTATCACAATTACTACAACCAAAACTGCATGGTGTGAATAACCAATTAGAAATAACGCACTTCAATGAAAAAATAATGTTTAAGTAAAAAAAAGGCATTCAAACTGAAAGCAGATTGTCTTTCACCAAATTTATTCCACCAAGATTTAGTTTATGACTCTACAAAGCCAACCCCCACTGCCACACACACACACGCTCAATAATCTGATCTTTGTTTTGAGACGAGCTGTCAACGTACAAATCTTACACATGCCGATGGCAAACTTTGGGTCACCCTGCTTCTTTTACACCATTAAATCTCTCACTCATACACATTGCTAGCATTGCTTAACACCGCCTTTGTCCTAGACACACACTGTGTCAGATAAGATAGACACACATGGTCTTCTAGCAGTAGGTCAATCTTGTCTTTCTGCTGTAGTGTGCAGCCTAAGTCTCTTCCCATGCCCTGTGTGTGCCCCTGTGCCACTACCACACTGAGTTCCTGCCCCGGGGCCAGCGGTCAAGAGGGTCACCCAAGCTCCTCTAAGGGGGGACACCCCAACCCTCACCACCCTGATCGGGATGCTCCTTAGCTTTCCTTTGTCAGCTTGTCCCACATCAGATAGCACAACAAAGAGTGCTGCTGCTACGGAAACCAGAGCTTGCATCATCATACCAAAAAAAATAAAAACTTTTTTTGATCTCATAACACAAAACTGGAACGTTGATTAAAAATGAAAATAATCCTCACCATCTGCAAATCATTAAAGAAAAACAACCAATACATTTAATAAATGGTCAGATTCAGTTTAGTGATTTGTCGTTACAAAACAAAAACCACATTGAGCTGCAAAACATCACTGTGATGACACTAATGTTGACTATGATAAAATACAATTGTTGCCAACTAAAATGTTTTTATATATATATATAAAAAAAAAAAACTGTGAATTCACATTGTGTGTATGTGTTTGCCAGTGCACATCTATTTGTCCACATCTGGATGAGTACACGACTGTGAGTGAAAGTAAATAAGATGTTCCTTTAAGACAGCAGCGTCTCTAGTTTTCCAGTGTTGTAATGAAATGAAATGTGTCTAATGTGCAAGAGCGGGGACAAAAGTGGCTGGAGTGAGAGGGTGTTTCATCTGTGCGTGTGGAGCTCCACGACGCTTTGATGTGAGAGCTCTCATGTAGTGAGGCAGGGATCTGGGCACAAGGAAAAGGACATCACTTGACAGGTACAAAGCATGGCTGATAGCGGTCATGGGTGCATGAAGTGAGGAAAGTGGACAGCATGGTTAGGTGAATTGGAGGCTGTATGTGTTGTATGTGTATTGTTAGCTGAATGAGACCAGATAACTTCTTTTTCCTCCCAGTATTATTCTGTTCCCTGGGTGCTGACATAGCTGCCCACTGCTCCACCTGACTGCATCTCAGGTGTGATGGGTTAAATGCAGAGAACCAAATTCACCATTGTATGGGAACATACAGTGATGGCAATCTCAGACTTCCCTTCCCCTTCCCTGTTGTAAGCC